GCCACGTGACTACAATGACCATACAAGCAGAAGAGGGCGGAATCTGACCTCGGTACAATGTCAAAGCGTCGTCTTAATGAATGTCAAGTCACCAATTTCCGAATCAGTACCACAACGGCCATTAGTAATAAAACAATTTATGTAAATTACAGCTGAGCAAAATTAATATATTCATTTATATTAATCCTATCTCATTTGCTTCGTCATTATATACTGAACCGCAAAAGAAACGTCACCATGGATAGATATATTAGAAACCTTATTCGCCCAAACACTGTAAACATACTTGAGACATATTAAAAAGATGAAACTTGGCAAAACTGATCATCAAGGTTGAAATTAAAGGGTCAACTGTTCTTAAAGTGAAACAAAACACTAGTCTCTGAGAAAATGGCATCACAAGTCAGCATCTCGTGTGTCCGCCATGTGCATTGATGACTGCCGTGCAACGTCGATACATGGAAGGGATGAGGCGGTTGATGAAGGCCATAGGCACTTGAGCCCACACTCTGAGGACCGCCTGACGCAGTTGACGGCCTTGGTCGGACGTCATTCAGCCTTCTTTGAAACTCATCCCACAGGTGCTCATTGGGATTTAAATCGGGACTGAGGGCAAGCCACTGCATGGTTCTGATGCCATTCTGCTGGAGGAAGTCTCTTGTTGCTCTCGCAGTGTGGGCACGGGCGTTATCATGCTGAAACTCGTGGTTGCGGCGACGTGCCAAATGAGGTATGGCGTGTGGTCTCAAGACTTGATCAATGAACCGAGCTGCTGTGACACCATTGCCTCTCCCTGGACCGATGTTCTGGAAGACCACAGGGCCGACACTCTGTGCAAGACCAATTCCACCCCATACCTTCATGCTCGGACCACCCCCCGAGTCTCTCTCAACAACACAAGCATCCGAATAACGTTTCCCACGGCGTCGCCAGACTCTCTCTCTGCCATCTGCTGTTGAGGTACAGTAACGGCTTTCGTCTGAGAAGAGGACTCTACTCCACTGCTGGTGGCGTCAATGCTGGTACTGTGTTGCCCACTGAAGACGGTTCCGGCGATGACGTGGTGTCAGAATGGGTCCTCGGTGTGGCCTATGACAGTGGAGGTGTCTGCTAGTCAATCGTCGACACACGGTGTCCGCACTAATGTGGTGTGTCCGCAGCAGTAACAAAGCGATCTTAAAGATGCTGTCGCACAATCTGACGATCCTGTCGTCGGTTGGTGACCCTTGGTCTTCCACTACGTGGTCGGTCATCTGTGGTGTTGATGGTCTGGTACCGTTGCTGGAGCCTGTATATGGTCCTTACGTGGACTTGAAATGCGTTGGCTATCTGCCTGGCGGGTTTTTTCCAGCTTGGCATGTGGTTGCAATTCAATAAAGAATGAATGTTATTCGATCTGGGTGGATTTTTATAGGGCAAGAAATGGGGGAACGCATGTGCATTTCAATGTGCACGGAACTTACGTGCATCTCGTTACCATGGCCGTTGCCGTGATGCGTTTGGGTGATCGGTTTTATTGTCATCTACTTTGTTTATTTATCATCAAATTTCATTTTTCCTGACAAGGTAATGTTAAATTTTAGAAACTTTGACAAAAATTACCCAGATATTTAAATGACTACTTTTCATGCAATGTTACTTCTGGTGACGTTTCTTTTGCGGTTCGGTATAGAAGTGTTATCTTTGTACATTCACTAACTGTTTGATTGACATTCTAGAAGTTGATAACGATGTAAGTATCTACATCGAAACGTCGGTATATGTAATAAACCAGAAGTCGTTGTCCATAAAGTGGTACGTTTTCTTATTTATATATAGCTGGAATATTGCTGAGTGCAGCGTTGAACAACAAACAACAAACTTACTCAGCATTCACCTGATGAAGGAACAAGAAATAGCTTTGAAAGGTCGTGAGGGGCACGGATGGCCCAGTCGTCTTAGGCGCCGCGATTCGCTGTGCAGAGTTGCGTCCCTTGGGCACGCCAGAAGCCTATGATCGTGGATTCGAATCCCGGTTTCTAGGTTTGTCAGCACCATACCCGTGCTCGTGGGTTTCACCGAAGTGATTAACGTCTGAGACTTGCGTCACTTCGGGCTTTCCTCCCACATTAAGCTGACACGCCGTGATATAACTGGAATACTGTTAAAAACGGCGTTAAACTCAAGTCACTCACTCACTCACTCACTGAAAGTTCGTGACAAGTTGCTATCCATACAAAATGTCATGTATTCATGTTCTTCCAACTATAGATTTGGTGAATTTTAATTTTATACGTGCATATGTTAAACAGATATATTTAACTGTCATGTGAAGAAAGGTATTGTTTCATACCGTATATACACGTACTAGTGTACATTTGTATATTTGTTTTAATCTGTTTATAATAACTGTACCTAAGATAAGACTTAAATATACTACAAATTTTACAGATTAAAACAACAAAATGGTCCAGTACATAGCTAATCTCTTTCTTCTTCTTTATGTTAATGGACTGAACCATTATTGTTTGACTTATTTTTTATAAGAGATAAGCCACGGGATAAAGGCTTAAAACCAGTATGTCAGTATTTGTTGCCCAGTCAAGTCAGGCTTGTGCTGTTGCAGATTCATGATAATAACTAAATAAAACTAAGTAGAGCAATTAATTACTTATTACTGTATAAACACTAACAACAAGATAATATATAACTAATCACATCAATTAAATATTTTTAAGATGAATTGAATTTAAGTTTAAAACCATTGTTGTTCAAACAAGCCAGATCTTAAGCCGAGTAGATATGTTAATACATATGACTGTATAAACTTTCTTTTCTTTTCTGATCAATGCAATTAAAACATTAAACTAAGAAAAATGTGTCAATGTATATCACTTCCTTTATTTTTATCCCATCACAATGAAAAGTATAAAACCCGGTGTCGGCAAGTCACAGTATCACATCATAGCAAATATTCACGCGAGCAGAGTATCTTAAATCCAAGACAGGCGGCCAGCAAGTGTTCCATGGAGCTTACCCTTACCGGCTGAACGTGCGACGTCAGGACGCAACACACTGGATGTGTGTGCATTCACGGTGCAAAAGTCGGTGCATCGCTGTTGGCGATTTAATCAGATCGGCATTAGAACACAACCATCCACCGAGTCAGAAGAGCTGCTACGTCTCCTCAGCAGCCTCAGACAACGTGTGCAGGCAGATGTAACACCCATCCAGCGGCTGTATGAAGATGCGCTATACTAAGTGTCTGAGGGGGCACGGGTCTGAGGCGCCGCTATTCGCTGTGCAGAGTTGCGTTCCATGGGCACGCCAGAAACCTATGATTGTGGGTTCGAATCCCGGTTCACCCCGATTATTTTTCTAGGTTTGTCAGCACCATACTCGTGCTCGTGGGTTTCACCGAAATGGTAAACGTCTGCATCACTTCGGGCTTTCCTTCCATATTAAGCTGAAATAGCCGTGATATAACTGTAATACTGTAAAGAGCGGCGTTAAACCCAACTCACTCACTCAGTGTCTGATCCAGCCAACAAGTGTGAAATCAAGACTGTACCGTCACAGAAGCAAGATGCTGCCTAACTTGCCTAAGTCCTTGTATGAAGTTCAGCTAGAGGTAGGGTGGACGGACACGACAACTCTAGATCAGTTTCTGAGTGTGAATGATGGTGACGATGACAAGCTGCTTGTGTTTGCCAATGATGAACGCTGAACGTACTCCAGGAGGCTGACACGTGGTGCATGGATGGCATGTTCTATGTGGATCCCAGTTTGTGGGATAAGTTATATGCAGTTCACTGGTGAATGCTAAGATATGCCCTGTTGTCTTTACACTGTGACTTACGTATAGAACCTGGAAGCAGTGAACACAACCAAGCGTGCCCAACTTGATCTCGGAGCCCTTCAGCAAATCAGAAACTGTGTGTACCGGGGACAAGACAAAACATTGAGACTGAATGACCATCTCGACTCCGGAAGAAAGACATCCGTGCTGTTCCTAGATGCCGCTGGTCACCAAATTAGGACAGCTTTCTATGATTTGCCTGTAGTTATTTGATTAAATGTAAAAGCGTTGCCAGAACTATTGTTATATTTTACTTCTGTGTTATATTATCAATAAAATATATCCGTGACTTTCATCATGTGTTATGGTTTTATTTCATTTCACAAGTGTCTCCCATTGTGCCTACACTGTTTCGTTGTCTCAGTATGGACCAGTTTATCTGGAATTTCGTGGCTCGATCGTAGCGCCACCACTGGCTATTCCGAGTTAACTCCCTTCTATGTCCCTCCTATTGACCAGATGCCACCTCTCATACCACTTGAATTTGCTTCAAACAAAATGGCGGCGCCCATTCAAGACGATATGATCAATTTAATCGAAGAAACGTTTCACATTCCCTGCCCCCAGGGCATGTGGATTGTAGCACAACACTTGAGCACCTTAAAAACATGAAAACATTTGGAAAATATCTGTCGACGCCCAGTTGACGGTCCACATGCTTTGCAAAACCTGTAATCGACCGAAATCTGGACGGCAGTCGCCATGTTCTTTTCGAACAGGATGTCGATTTCGTAACGCGATTTTGATTAGGCTATGCATTCTCCAAAATAGAAACTCCGAATTCCAGCCAAGTTCGGCAAGGTGGAAACTGGACAATTATAATCAGTTAACTCACTTGCCTCTAGAAGACTTGTTATTTCGTTACAAGATGTATATGATACAGGTGTCGAAACACTACTGTTATAGGCCTAAGTTTGCAGTGTTTCGGCGATTGTTTTCAGGCTAGTAACGTTTTGTTAACGTTTGTAATTTGTTCGTCAAATGTATATTTTCTTTTGCACGGCAGTTTATATGTTCTCGCCCAACTGCTGATTAACTAAATAGACTCTACAGCAGGAATTCGGTTAAACACTGACTATCGATAATGTTCCTATCAGGGATCCAGTATCCAAATATAGCAGCTATTTTTGGAATGCCCATTGTTGCCAAGGCCATAGACGCTTGGCATATTTATTAAATCACGGATCATGCATGAGAGATAAGAACTTTTCGGTCACATAAGTAGTGATTTTGAACAAGGGATAATCATTTGAGCCATCATGAAGACAGCAGTTAGTATTCTCTTGTTGTTCGCCGGTAAGTAGCTTCATCTCTCACGAGCGGTTGTTTACTATATTGTTAATAGGATGTTCCATGTGTGTTTCTAAGGTTTGTTTGTTTGTTTGTTGTTTAACGCCGCACTCAGCAATATTCCAGCCATATGACGGCGGTCTGTAAATAATCCAGTCTGGACCAGACAATCCAGTGATTGACATCATAAGCATCGATCCACGCAATTGGGACACGACGACTTGCATCATCCAAGTCAGCGAGTCTGATCACTGTTTCCTAGGAGGTGATGGGTGTCACAATAGGTTACAACATAATTGCGTAGATCGACCCTCATAAAGTCAATCACTGGATTGCCTGGTTCAGACTCGATGAATTACACTCCGTCGTCATATAGCTGGACTATTTCTCAGTGCGGCGTTAAACACAAAATCAAATAATAAGCCCCAAGTTCCATATGCCTTAGGGCCGACTCTTGGCAATGGGACACCAGAAACTGGCTTCCAATACTTTATGTGCAGAATCAAACTGGGGTCTTAGGTATGACGGACTAAAGGTTAAAGCACCAGGCTACCCTATACACGTTTATTCCTCTTAAGCCAAAGTTTGTCATATACCACATAACTGCGTCAAAATAGTGTATCATCTACCATTCAGACAAGAAGGGCCGTGCACTTCTTTAACAGATGTCTAACGGAACAATGAACGTGAGGCAAATCACATCATCCCAAAACCTCACCATATGGGTTCTTGAACAGTATTCCAGTTATATCACATCTTCTCGAGGCAAGAGAGTCAACTGACTTTAAAAGTCCAGTTTCCACCCTTGCCGAACTGATATTATGGAGTTACATTTTGGCTGGATTAACGAGTCATTGCATAGTCCAATCACAATCGCGCAACGAAATCGAAATCTGGTTCGTAAACTGTCATGCAGATTTCGGTCGATTGCAGGATTTGTAAAGCATGTGCACCGCCAACTCGTTGTTAACAGATATTTTCCAAATCTTTTCATGTTTTTAATCAAGGTGCTCACGTGATTTGATGCACTTTGCGATGTAAGACCCGTTTTAACACAAAATAGATATTGATCATCGATCAGATCGTCTTGACTGGGCGCCGCAATGTTGTTTGAAGCAAATGCAAGTGATACGAGAGGTGGCATCTGATTGGTCCATAGGAGAGGCATAGAAGGGACACAGGTGATGCTACGATCGTGCCCAGGAATATTCAAGCCGAGTTCGGCAAGGGTGGAAACTGGACTTTTATAGTCAGTTAACTCTCTTGCCTCGGGAAGATGGTTATATCACGGCATGTCAGTTTGATGTGGGGAGAAAGCCCGAGGTGATGCAGGACTGATACATCTTCCACTTTGGTGAAACCCACGAGCACGGCTATTAGGCTGATAACTTCATTCATAATCAGGGCGAATCTGGCATTCAATCTTACCGGGTTGAAGATATGATGTTTCTTGGCTTCTCCTTTGAGAGAAACAACATGCGTCTTGAAGCACTTTCCGAAAAATAAATCTGATCTAAAACAATACCGCCCCAAAAATATAAAATGGCCGACCCCAAACGGCTAACTAATGTCGTTCGGGCGATAACAGTGTGTGCTGATAGAAACATACCCGTTTGTTTCAGGTCGCTCTGGTGTGTCTGGTGTACCGAGACGGCGTTCACCCAGTCATTCTTTCATAATTATATATTTTTATGTTCACATGGACTGAATATTTGATCTGTGTTTCTATATGTGAAAAACGGAGACACTTCGTTTTAATAGATTCTCTTAAAGTGAGCGAGAGTGTGTTGGGCATAACGCCGCTTTTAACGTTATTCGAGTTATATCACGGAGTGTTAGGTTAATGTGGAAGGAAAGCCTGAAGTGATACTTTGGTGAAACCCACAACAGACAAGCCTAGAAACATAATAGGGGCGAACCGGTATTCGACCCCACAATCATAGATTTCTGGCGTGTCAAAGGGACGCCACTCTGCACTGCGATTTGCATTCGTGACCAACTCGTGTTATTCCGGGACAAGCCGAATAGCGACTCGTGCCCCTCTCGTGGCCTTTTTTGCAACCGGGTTCCGTCTTAGCGCAAACGGGCATACCTAAAACAATTGTCAACTCGTTGCGCAATGGTTCACATATATTTCACCATATATTATTTATAGTTCAGATGCAATTTAAAGCACATCAGGACATGCGGAATTATACAGTATGATTGAACACATTTAACTGTGTCTTGGGTATATTTTTCGATGCAAGACATATGTAAAAACAGAAATTATTTCTGAGGGATTCTTTGACGAAGAACTTGAAATCATACGCGCATTCTGATTTGTTTGTCGTATTTTCGCACATAACATTCATGGATAGGGGGACGAGTCTTCTTGCAGGTTACGGAAAGGGGCGAGTGGTGACGAATGTGCGGCGCCTTTGGCGACTGGGCAACCTGTGCCCCTAGAATGTTTTAAGAATGCATTATAGACACTTCTTACATTTTGAACAGCTTCGGCCTGGGCAAACCAGAAGTGTCAGCTGCACAATGGCATCAGGACGTATAACGGCAAGCACTGCGCATCCACTACTCGTTACAACGACGGCCACAAGGGGGCGTGTGGGTGCGGACAGAATGACACACCTTTCCCATGGAACAACAACCAGTATGTTGCCGCAGCCAATCAGAAGCTGTTCAGTAACTCCGGAAGTTCATGGTGTGGAGACAGCTGCGGCAAGTGTGTGAAGCTGACGACAACTGGTGAGTAAACTGAGTTTGGGGTCCAGAGGGTCTTTCCACAAAGCGACCGTAGCGCTAAGGTAGCTCGCATACTTTAACATAGACTAACGACTGTCGTAGCGCTACGATCGCTTCGTGGAACTGGACCCAGGACGTGTGTGATAGGGGTGCATGTCCTGACATTATGACTTTATTACGTCTGTATTATGTATTATACGCATGTCAAAAGTAACTGTGAGCATTGGTTTTGTGAAAACTGAAAATGAATCCAAAATAGTTAACAAGATGGGCTTTACATGTTTAACCGTCTCCTCACCACATTCATAACCATTGTGAAGTCAGACATGGGAAAATTTTCTATTCAAACAGCTGTACATCTCTTATAGGAACGAAACGTACAAAAACTGCAAATGCTCGGCAGAAAATATTACATGAAAACCGATTCATATTCATGTCTTTTTGTATTTTAGTCTACTTATGTTGTATCCATTTATAGCTCAATTTACCCCCCCCTGGCCCCGGTCCACACTTCCTCAATAATCCAGAGTATGATATCTTCATTCTGTTGTGAAAAATACTCTGAACCCATTCACCTCTGTAGATCCGTTTCACCACATCCATGTCTCTTTATCAACTTCGCACAGAATTTCTTTCGCTGATAAGTGTTTTTTTGATTGGACGGCTGTCCTAGCGCCCGCAATTTTGTTTGACTCAAAACGTAGCTATGGTGGCGAATGGGTCCAGGGTATTTATCGTGATATAGTGAATATATAATACACTGGATTATCGAGGATGAGGTCCACAAAGTTCGCAGCGCCAGGAGAGACGTAAGTTTGTTTGAACTGAATAGTTACATACTTGTAGCACTAGGAACGCTTTGTGGTTGGGCCGTTCGCGAGTCACATTATGATAAATAAGAATCATGTTTCCCTTTGGGTTGACATTCTACTATTTGACATAGGCGGTTCGATCCCTGGCGCCGGGACTGGTGCTCATGAAGGACAGAGCCACGTGTTTATGATCACCAACGACTGCCCCGATGTTGCCCCTAATCTGGAATGGTGTGCTCAGAAGGGAGCCCCGGGAAGCGGCCACGGTAACACTCACGGCTATGAAGTACATTTTGATCTGGAAAACAATGGCAACCAAATCTCTAAGTTGGGTTGGGACAACCCCGAGGTTACCTGGGAATGGTCCAGTTGCCATGGTTCCAATACCCCGACAGACCAGATGTGGCACACATGTGAATGTTCTCACTAAAATGAATCTTTGGTTGTCATTGGCTTGTTTTCATTTATGTCCGAATATAAAGTGATATGAAGTACAGCAACCGAAACTGAAAATGCACAAGAAACTTTTTTTTGTGCTGAACGTGTCGGCACATTTCAATGTAAAGAGTGAGTGAGGTTTGACGCCGTTTTAACAATATTCCAGTTACTTTACAGCGTGTTAGCTTGAGGTGGGAGAAAATCCCGATGTGATGCAGGTCTTAGACGTTTACAACGAACACGGGTATGGTGCTGACAAACCTACATAGTCGGGGCGAACAGGGCTTCGAACCCAGGATCCTAGGTTCCTGGCCTGCCCAAGGAACGCAACTCTGCGCAGAGAATTGCGGTGGCGCTTTAAACGACTTGGCCACCCCTGCTCCCTCAATGCAAAGGCGTGGCTAGAATAATGTCTATGATTAATTAAGTGAGTGAGTATGGATGTACGCCGCTTTCAGCAATATTCCAGCAATATCACAACGGGGGACACTAGAAATGGGCTTCACACATTGTACCCATTAATTAAGAAAATGGTGTTTCACACAATCGATCGTACCATGATAATAATACGATGGCCTGCAGGTAATCAAGAAAAGCAAATCTCTCGGCGGTAATGTGAGCAATGCTTGGATACCACAAGTCTCGTGTGAGTTCAGTTGATAAGGTGTTATAATGAACGCGTAGAGTTACGTCCCGCAGGCATGCCAGGATCCACGGTGCATTCGGTGAGTTTAGAACACTTTGTGGATCGTTGTCCAGAATCCAATTATCGTGGGTTTGAATTCCAGATCAGCACGGATTGCGATTCTTGGTTTGTCAGCATCCAACCCGTCGTTGGTTTCACCGAAGTGGTAATCGTCTTCATCACTTCGGTTTCATCCAACATTAAGCCGACATGCCGTGAGCTAACTAAAATAATCTTCAAAGCAGCGTAAAACCTGATTTACTTCCGCCCTGTAACTATTTCTATAGGCCAAAGTGATCCATGACAAGACACGATGTACACTTTCAACTTAGATATTTTAATGTTTGTGAATATGTTAAAAACGTTGCCGCATTAACAGGGAATGCTCTCGCACATGTTACAAAAGTACCTTTATACAAGGCCATGAGACCCTCTGACTTTACTGTTTTTTTCAAACAATCTACCATGCTGTTATATCTTCCGGATAAATCCGCCTGCAACCGGCTCTTGATGACATCAAACGGCATAACTGAGAACCACGTGACTGTTCCGGAAGTACCTCCAGCTATGAGACTGGCAAATATACCCTGATCGTCCGTAAGACCACGATCGTGCATGACGTGGGTGAGGTATTCGTAGATGGCACAGTAGATGCCGTAGCTGGGGATGTCTCTGAAGGCCATGACGGTCAAACCTCGATAACAACCAGATACACCATTCTTGCGAACGGTCGCCATTACAGCTTCCAAGGGACCTTTGAAGTAGGGGGAGGCAACTCTGGCTGGACCTTATACAAATAGAATGCATACGTGGTTTAAAAAAATATGACGTATCTTGGAAACCACTGTTGTAAAAACTGTACACATAAGCGTCATATGACAGAAAAATTAGAAGAAACAAGAGTCATCAGAAGATGTCAAATCCCCTCCGCCCCCACAATAACAAAAGGCACCACTTCAGTTCCTTGTTACTACATGTGAGTGAGTGAGTATGGTTTTACGCCGCTTTTAGCAATATTCCAGCAATATCACGGCGGGGGACACCAGAAATGGGCTTCACACATTGTACCCATGTCGGGAATCGAACCCGGGTCTTCGGCGTGACGAGCGAACGCTTTAACCACTAGGCTACCCGACCGCCCCGTTACTACATGTACCAAGTTTGGATGAAAAATCTTTCACGGTTTTCAAGTTTTGTTTGTTTGTTGTTTAACGCCGCACTCAGCAATATTCCAGCTAAATGAAGGCGGTCTGTAAATAATAGAGTCTGGACCAGACAATCCAGTGATTGACATCATGAGCATCGACCCAAGCAATTGGAATACGATGACATGCACCAACCAAGTCAGCGAGCCTGACCATCCGATCCCGTTAGTCGCCTTTTACGGCAAGCATCGGTTGCTGAAGACCTATTCTACCCTGGATCTTCACGGGTCCGGTTTTCAAGTAATGCTCCGGAAACGAAATACGGACGGCAGACAGACAGACCAGATGATGACCATATCACCTGCATTATATGCCGGGGGACAAATGAGGAGGCTTTTGAAACATGTTGCCTTGTGAAACACCTTCTGTGAAGAGAATGAACCCTTAAGCAAACTGGACCATATGCGAAAAGTTATCGCCGAAAACTATTTGTCTTCAAATCTCCTTAAAATCAGATCTTAGAGTTGCTACCGAGACATACAGATCTGAAAACATCTCATTACAGGTCACGTCTGAACGTCGTATATCGAACTTTAACCGACCAAAGAAGGAAGTCTACATTAAACAATCAGAAGGAAGATTTCTCGAGCTTTACGGCATTGCATTAAAAAAATGGAAACTTCCATTCTACCTTGACAAAGTTCTCGATTCAAAATTTAAAAACGGTACAAAAGAAAATTCTGGAATGACCGATATGGTAATACATGGCAGTACTTCCCAGAGGTCGTGGAAAGTTTCTCTCTTTATCGTACAGCCGTAACTGTCCTTCGGAATGACACGTGTTCACCATTTCAAGGTTGCATGATCAGAAAGCAGATTCGGACTTTCACTTTTGCGATCTCGTAAGCTAAGCTCTGACTGGTCGGATAAAAGGTTGTTCTGACGTGACCTGTAATGGGATGTCCTCATATCTTTGTGTGGCCGTAGCGAGCACTAAGATCTGATTTAAATGAGAGTGGTTTGATTCTTTACAAGGGTGAAATTTGTGAAGACTATTCTTGTCGTCAGCTTAATGGCTCGAATACAACTGAAAGAGGTGTACAATCATACTCACTCATTCACGTTTTCGTATAGTCCAAACATTGCTGAATATTAGGTTTGGTGACTGAACGTTATCCGAGTAAGCGAAGTGCCTGTCAACACTGAAGTTTAAAGATAGAGAGGTGTTTTCTTCACCCTTATCCATAAGCTAATACAGTGTCTAAAAACATGTGTTGGACCAAACATTGTTACCGTATTCGACGTAATAAGCGCCCAGGCGCTCTCAAAATTAGAAATATGGGGCTCTCATTAGAATATTATTTTGTTGAGTTGAGTTGAAAGATAAATTTCGTGGTTTATGCTGACAGCCTGGAATGTTTATATACGAGAGATATATTTTTCCAGAATTTAATTGCCCATAATTAAGGGTGCATATAACACACGAGTGCGTAGTATACGCGAATAAATAAGTATTGTGTACATTGATCAATCGGAAAGGGTGCAAATTGGGATTGTTCACGAGCCAATATATTAGCAAATATCGCCGTGGGCGCTTATTAGAGCGGGGCGCTTATTACGTCGAATACGGTATGTTATTTCAATCCAACCAAAATTCTCAAACAACTAAAGGTCAAGTGGTACCTTTGTTCCCAGCAGTGGTCTCGTGGGGTATCTGTGACTGTAAAATGACCTTACAGAGGTCAACGGGACAGGCAATAACCAACTGGGCGGCCCCGCCGACACACCCTGCAACGTATATGTCGGCATACGACGCTCGATCAAGTTCATTGCGCATACGTTGCATGAACTGCAAGGTGTTTCCGTAGACTCCGAAGAATACCGAATTGATAACACCATAAGACAGAAGAGGCCATGACATCCCTCGGAAGAAGCCTCTCGCCTAGAAGATCAATTGACAAAACCGTAAATGAATAACTTACGTTTCCCGGAACTGTAATATTGCTAATTTGATTACCCTTCACACACTACAACTAACCTACGTCTCATTGAGCAAATAGATGTATTCATTTCATCTGTTCATTGAAGAGTTAGAATTGGCCTTGAGTAACCCATGCTTGTGGTACGAGGCACCTTACGGGATTGGGTGGTCAGACTCGCTAACTAGGTTGATGCGAGTCATCGTATACCAATTGCGTAGACCAATGCTCATGATTTCAATCACTGGGTTGTCTGGGCCAGACTCGATTATTTGCAGATCGCCGTCGTATAATTGGAATATTTCTGAGTGCGACGTTATAAACAACAAACAAACAAAAGCTTAATGGATCGGAAGATCGGGTGGTCAGGTTTGATTGTCCCGACGGCCTATGAGGATGCTCATAATATCAATCACTGGATTGTCTTGACTCATTTCTTTACCAGTAGCTTTAAATTCGCTGGAATATTGCTGATTGTGGCGTTAAAAAGCAAGCAAACGAGTATTAAGTCATTTATCTTTTGTTGAAATGGAAAGCAATAAAACACTTATAATAAATATAATAATAGAAATAAATAACGCACCATTCCTTTTATAATGAATAAGACTACTTAAGGCCCGACCATTTGTTATGTTCTGAAAATATTATTTCTTCCATAAAATAGTGGCAACTATAATGCTGTTTGCTGGACATTCGTTCATATTACTATAGTTAATCTGTCACGCAGCGTCAGGCATGCCAGATTGACTATAGTAATATATACTATGTTTGAGTAGTATGATTACTCGGCTTCACGTTTCAATGAAAACAACTGTATGTCTTCATGCAGAGCCCAAAAAATATTTATCTCCAATAAAGATCATAAGAACATGAGGCGAGTGAGTTCATTCTTAACATTTCGGGGGGCAATGCCTAGGGAATTGCCGGGCCCTTGTGTCAGGCATTACCATGGGTAAAAGTCGAACACTTACTAGTCCCTGTGACTGTATATGCTTCAGAGCGTCCATTGTGCCGCGATACTTGGTTCTAGTAGACTGCGTCTGCAACTGTACCTGCGAACGATAAGACTTTTATAAAAAAATATCTCACCTGCCATCCTCATAGGGTGGCCCAGTCGTCTAAAGCGCCGCGTTTCGATGTGCAGTGTTGCGTCCCTTGGGCACGCCAGAAACCTATGATTGTGGGTTCGAATCCCGATTCGCCCCGATTATGTTTCTAGGTTTGTCAGCACCATACCCGTGCTCGTGGGTTTCACCGAGGTGGTCAACGTCTGACACCTGCATCACTTCGGGCTTTCCTCCCACATTAAGCTGACACGCTGTGATGTAACTGGAATAATGTTTAAAGCGGCGTTAAACCCAACTCATTCACTCACTCACTTTTTAAATAGACTGTCCCCAGTTCTGGTTCTTCTAGTTCTCAAGATACTTACGAGGTGATTTGAGGTGAAATTGGGTTGAACGTCGCGTCCAAGATTATTGCACTTATACAGCGACGTGCATGTACGTGGGTGTGTTTGTGTGGGTGCTTGTACTAGTCCGGACTGATGCCGATTTATAGTGCTAGCTCACTGAGATACCATGCCGCAGTTTAACATGAATACCCCACTCAGACACAATATACTGACTCCGAGCCGACAAGTCCTTGTTTTAGCCTCTTAATGCCGAGCGCCAGGCAGGGTAACAACAAGTACCATCTTTTAACGTCTTTTGCGAACCCCGGACCTTCCGCTCCCCGGGCGGACGCTCCACCACTAGACCACGGAGGCGGTCTAGATCCTTACGAAATGTTGGTTACGAAATTATCCCAAGCCAGAAAGGCCCATTCACTTTGTCTGATGTTGAGGTATCCAAATGGCTCGCGGAATTTCAGGGTTTTCTTATGTGTGTATGCGTGAGCGCGTGCGTGCGTGCGTGCGTGTATGTGTGTGTTCTTATATGTTATTATCACTATTAGGGCTAGCGTCTATTCATGTAAATTACTGCACCCTAACTGCATGTACTGCCGTAATCGAGCACTTACCTTAGTTGTGTCGAAAGGGTGCCCTACCACCAACCCCACCATACCTGAAAGACGTAAGCATACATATACTCGAGCTGTCCTGGTTCCCCAGTGAGGAAGTGAGAGAGTAAGCTGTATAACCGTTGAAACATAACAGCTAACAGGCAAATAAAACCATTATTCCCTACTTGTAGGGAGAACGGACTCAACCTAGGATCGATCAGTTGGAAAGTGACAGACAGTGTGGTATCATGTTGTTCATGCTGCCAGCCTCTGGTCTGCCTTCAACAACCCATGCTTGCCGTAAGAGGCGACTATGCTTGTCGTTAGAGTCAACGAACAGGATCGGGTGGTCAGGATCGCTGGCTTCGTTGATGCATGACATCGTATCCCAATTGCATTGATCGATGCTCATGATGTCAATCACTTGATTGTCTGGTCCAGGCCTTATATTTTTCAGACCGCCGTCACATGGCTAGAGTTTTGTTTTTTTGTTTGTTCTTTAACGCCGCACTCTGCAATATTTAATCTATATGACGGCGGTCTCTAAATAATCGAGTCTGGACCTCACAACCCAGTGATTGACATCATGAGCATCGATCAACGCAGTTGGGATAGATGACATGCATCAACCAAGTCAGCGAGCCTGACCACCCGATCCCGTGACCTGAGACCTATTCTACCCCGGATCTTCACGGGTCCTGAGTAAACAACAAACAAACATTATCATCTGACATTGAATGTTAATCTCAGACTTTACCACGAGGTCGTGTCAGGTGAACTTACTTGTCAGCGTCCAGTGACCGAAACATTCAGACCAACATCTGTATCTCGAAAATGAACTAAAACGACTAGTTCCGAATATGGATGATAAAGGCATCCCGATTATATTGTGGCTATTTTATACACCCTGTCACCTATTATCTCCATCACGTCTAACTCGGATGTTCACGGGTGTGAGGATTATGAAAATCAGCTAGGCCACAATCAATAGATTCGTTCTGGGGCGCGGGGAGACTAACAGACCAATGATCATAGTCGGGCGAATTGTGATTCGTAACCATTATCATCGGCTCCTACCACGACTAAGGGGTATAACTCTGCACATCAATGTGTGGAGAGGTATCATCAACACTTGGCACATGAGCTGAGATCTTACCTCCCATAGCACCGGCTATGTAGTCATTGATAAGGCTGCTGCTTGGGTGTCTGACGACGTCATGAGCGAGGCCAACTTCTTCGTCCATCTGCTCGAATTAGTCCCTTCTGAACGAGCTACAAGTAACTAAACATGTCAATATCACTTCCGATATATTACCATGATTGATGGCTGTCATAAGTGAAAACGACAAGGTCGTTTCTGGATTTAATTATGGTTTATTTTTGTGTGTTCGACGTATAATATAAACTCATAGCGAGCGAGAGTGGGTGAGTGAGTGAGTATGGTTTTACGCCGCTTTAGTAATATTCCAGCAATATCACGGCGGGGACACATTTCTGGGCCCACTTGCACAAAGCGATCTTAGCGCTAAGATGATCGTAACTCCCATACTTTAACATCGACTTAAGATAATCTTAACGCTAAGATGGTTTTGCGCAAGTGGGCCCAGAAATGAGCTACACACATTGGACCTATATGGGGAACGAACTCGGGACTTCGGAGTATACAGAAAACATATGTCAAGGCAGCCACGGCAGTAAATATATAGACATAGTGTTATATAGAAACTGCAGAATTAAAATGCTTAAATTCTAATTTCAAAGAAAAAACTTTAGAAAGACGATAAGGTTCTTCTTGGGCCATATACACTACTAGTAAACCTTAAATCTGTTAAGGGGCGGTCGGGTAGCCTAGTGGTTAAAGCGTTCGCTCGTCACGCCGAAGACCCGGGTTCGATTCCCGACATGGGTACAATGTGTGAAGCCCGTTTCTGGTGTCCCCCGCCGTGATATTGCTGGAATATTGCTAAAAGCGGCGTAAAACCACTCACTCACTCACTCAATCTCCAAAGAAAATGGGGTTTTGAGTTGTATGCTTGCAACAATATCGATAAGACTATGAAGAACATCAACAAAATAACATTCATAAGGTATCTGAACATCCAGATGTTATGTATAAAGCACGTGAGGTTTCAACAGTATGTCAGGAGGGACAGGTAGGGGAAACATGTGAGCACGTGTATATTGCTGACAATCCAAGGCTCGGAATCGAGGGACATTATGGCCTCCGTATGTTTAAATCACGACCCACCTGACACTGCAAACACGATTTCCAAGACTTCTCTTTTATAAATGCTGATTTGAGATTGTAAGTTATAGGTCAAAGAAACAAAGGCTGACCAAGTCGTGATGACCTTTCATCACGATAAAGCCCACGAGCCTCCACATGTCTTCAACGTGAACTAGAATATTTTTATCATATATTTTCTAATATTTACTATCATCAAGCACGGGTATTTGACATTAGTACTTTTAATAGGTAAAGGGTCCATGGCAACTGGAATTCCAAATTTATTTAGAATGATGGAGAGAATTAAAAAAAAGACCCCGTTTTAATTAGAATCTTGGCAATGATTCTAATTAAAACGGGGTCTTTTTTTTTAATTCTCTCGATCATTCTAAATAAATTTGGAATTCCAGTTGCCATGGACCCTTACCTTACTTCCTCTAATGCCCCACCATCGGTGACCCGTGAAGATCCGGGGTAGAAAAGGTCTTCAGCAACCCATGCTTGCCGTAAAAGGCGACTATGCTTGTCGTAAAAGGTGACTAACGGGATCGGGAGGTCAGGCTCGATGACTTGGTTGATGCACGGTCATCGATCCCAATGGCGTGGATCGATGCTCATGATCAATCACTGAATTGTCTGGTCCCGACTCGATTATTTACAGACAGCCGTCATATAGCTGGAATATTGCTGAGTGCGGCGTTAAACAACAAACAAACCAACCAACCCCACCTTCGGTCGTACTCAAGAAGAATGGACGCACAGCACATGCAAGATGGCCCGGGGAACGAGATATCGCTGTGAAGAGTAATGTTAGTTACCTAGGTAGGATAGACAGTTTGTGGTGCTGTGGAGGAGCTTGTCGGTATACGTGTAGCCTGAAAGTGAAACAGACAGCGGAGAGTTAACAACGCACCAATCAAGCTCCTTCCCGGCGCGTGACACCTTCGTTACACTCTCGGTATTATTAGGAGCTCCGCGAACGGACTATCGCTGTGAGGAGCTTGCGCACCCATGAAGTAAGGGAGATAACTCTCGAAAGGACCGACAATTTAACATCGCTGCCAAAATGTCAGTCGCGATTACCTTTCGGGGCATTTCGGATGACACTGGACCAGCCTTTTGGTCCCATGAACCAACTTTACGGCAAAAACAACGTGGTGTAGCATTTAGTACTGGCTCATACCTTCATTCCGTCACTTTTCATTCGGTTCCGGAAAACCACGTGGCAATTTGCGTCAAGACATTTAAAACTCAGCGGAAACCAGATCCCCCCATGCAATCAACTAATCGCTGAGCAGGATAAAATAATCATTCAGTAACGCCCATTGCAGCTGCAAAGCGGAGTAAGTATTTAGTTGTTATATATTTTGGTGCCTTTACATTATATAGGATAAATCAGATGGGAATTCAATGCGCCAAATGTTGGGGCATGTACATTACGTCATCGCTTTTGCGGTCGGCCATATTGGAGTAGTGGAATATTGCCGCCAGTGAGACTTTGAATCCAGTGATTGCGTTTCTCTACTAGCTATGGCGGATTTTTGTGGAGTGTTTGGTTGCACCAGTCGTGCAGATCGAGAGAACTGCCTATCGTACTTTAGATTGCCTGCAGTGTGAAATAGCCACGGTGATCAGACCCGCCAATTGTCATCAGAGCGTCGAAGAGTTTGGCTTGCCAACATTGGTCGGGCTGACTTGAGTGAACACAAGTGCAAGTATACTAGGATATTTTCCCGTCATTTTATCACAGGTAAATCGATAATACACTTGTAGTTGATTCTAAAAAATCTATATAAAAGTAAAAGAATATGATAAACTGGACTGACAAAGAGAGATTATCACTTTTGTTCCGTTTTCGATCAGTGGGGGATCCACCAATCGATAAATAATGCAATAATATTTAAATAGATTTATTCACTTAACATGTTATTTATTCTCTCGTCTTCGTAATTATTTCTTAGTTGAATTAAATGCACGACCATTAGCTTCTGTCGTTTTTGTTTATATCTGGGAAATAATACAGATGTCCTATCATTGTCTCTCATTGACATAGATTTAGGAAATGTGAAGTAGGCAAATTTATAGATATTGTTATACATATAAATAAATATTACAAGTGGTTTTGATTATCTAGATATTGAAGTTTGTAGAATGAAAAAGGAGGGGGGACAGTTTGTGATAGAAATGGGCCCTTATGAATTAAGTGAATATTGATTTGATATCAGTTTTATTTACTAAATTGATAAATATAAACATCAAAGGATCTAATTGTTATTCTTTTCTTTTGAACAGGGAAGTCTGCAGACTTGTTTGACAAGACCAATCCTGACTGGGCATCAACTTTGGATCTTGGACAGGATAAGTTTAAACTCAAGTCTGGACCAGAGAGTGTTTCACGCCATAACAGAACTGTTGTCCGTCAAGAAAACCGCAAGAAACTGGAAGCAGCTAACACACTTATTGCTCTTCACCATATTGCTGCACTTGATAACTGAGGACATCAGTGTTGATCAAGAAGTGGATGAGAACAATAACATCAAATCTCAGACTTGGCTAACTGGTACTGAGATTGTTTCCATGGAGGAAGAATTGGAGCGATTAACTGTTAAGAATGTTGATCTGCGACAACAGTTGTCGCAGTACAAATTGATAGAATGTGGACTTAGGAACAATAACGAACTTGCTAATTTCTTGACAGGGTTACCAACTTATTATATCTTGGAGACGGTTTACAACTATATATCCAGTAACCAGTGTTTGCGTTTACGGCGTCCCATATACAAAAATAGGCACTGAAAAAAAGAAAACAAACCTGTACACGTCCCTTTACGCGTTTTTCATTTTGAAAAACGTTAATTTACGCATCACTTATTGTTGTTTTGTTTCGAGTTTCTCTGGCTCCCAAAACCAATGTGATATTGAGTATCCAATATTCGCTGGGTTCCGGTGCCAGCCAATTCGGTGCACCCACGGAAAACTGAAGTATCTGATGACGTTTCTCTTCCATATCGTGTCCGTAACGGCATCGCTGATTGGTTACCAAAACAGAACTAGAAACGTAAGCCAATCGCAGACCTTGTTAACAGTTTGTTGTCAAGGACTAAGGTCAAAATGGCATCGCCGAAACCTTGTCAAAAGAAAAGAAAGTTTCGAGAAAGTTGGCTTGAAGAGCCAATGTTTAAATGGCTAATCTATGAAGATTCCAAGATGTTTTGTGGAGTTTTTCGTCCGGTAAAGCGTAAAAATGCTTTTGTATCTGGATGCAACAATTTCCAACGATCGAGTTTGATACGGCACGAGGAAAAAAGCTGTCACAAGGGCGCGGTGACAACAACACGTTCGGCAACACTGCTTGTTAAGTGTATCCAAAAACAAATGAAGTTGCACAAGATGGACTCGTACCTCAAATTTATCGTTAAATTGTTTTTGGCGTTGTCCAAGTTTAGCAAACTGATAAACCTGCAGCAATTGAACGGGGCCGATCTCAAAGGTGTATATAAACATCATGAACAGGTAAGATTCTTAGAAATCACATATTAATTTAGACTGGCTCTTATTAGCTTAGTTCTGTAGATATATTTTAATTTTCTAATCTTAAATTATTTACATTTCCATAATCAGCTCAATCTCATTAAAATCAGATCTTAGTTCTCGCTATCGCTAAACAAAGATCTGAGGACATCCCATTACGGGTCACGTCAGAACGACCTTTCATCCAACCAATCAGAGCGTCCCTGACCAGATCCTCAAAGTGACATTCGAAATGTGTTTTCTAATCATGCAACCACGATATATTTAACACGGGGTATTCCGAACGACAGTTACGGGTTTTGTGACAAAATCCTTACAATCTTGGCCATCTATAAGCCATTCCAGCATGTTCCTCTTATCAGTTTTGTACTTTTTAATCGAGAATACGTCAAAATATGTTTCGAAGCGTAGTCGCCAGTTTGAAACTAGTGTCGTAAAGCTCGAGAAAGCTGCCATCTGATTGTCCAATGTTGATTTCTTGTCAGTCATTTCATTGGTTGGTCAAAATTCGCGAAAGGTCATTCTGACGTGACCCGTCATGGGATGTCCTCAGATCTTTGTTTAGCGGTAGCGAAAACTAGGATCTGATTTTAATGAAATTGATAATCAGCTGATAATGAGAACCAATTTACATTGTGCATGTTGAGTACCTCATGAGCTTCAGTTGTAAATCACTTTAAAATTGTTTTACACTTAGGCTAAATCTATGTAGATCTATATACTATACCAAGTTATACTAAATTGAATATTTACAACAAAAAATTCTAGATTTCATGAATAATAATAGTACTGGTAGTAATAATAATAACAATTACCATGATGATCATGACATTAATTATTTAAAATGTCACAGTCATTGGGGTCACTATATTTAAATCATAATTTTAATCAACAGTTTGAAGAGATGCTTCTTTCGCTATCTCAGACGGTTGATAAGACAGTACACCAACATATCAGTGAGGCCACATTCATCAGTGTCACAACAGATGAAAGTGTTGATGTGGCAGTATTCAAGAAACAGATGATTCTTATCACAGTTATTGTGGAGGGGTGTGTGAAAATCTACTTCGGCAAAAATGTTGATGTTATTGATGGAAAGGCTGACACCATAGCCAGTGCCATTCTCAACTACCTCCAGGAGAAAAGAATCCCCCCCTCAAAGGTTGCAGGTTTGGGGAGTGATGGTGCTGCAGTGATGACCGGTCGTATCAATGGTGTTGGTAAGTATGTCTATGTAAATTAGTATACACAAAAAATGTAGTAGAAAATACATGTTCACCTTCATGTTCACACCCCCTGATGGAGCTGATACATTAGAATAATAGTCATTTCAAAGCATACTCTTTCCAGTTTGATATAAATAACCTGGGACTATCATCTGAGTGTAGAAATGTATTTGTCAAATTAATTGTCATTGTCATTTCATTAATTTAATGTCAAAAATCTTATGTCAGTTTCATTTCTGAACATTATGGAGTAACTCTCTAAAAGATCTTTCGGCTTTGTACAATATTAGTTCATATATACATCCTAAATTACAGGTGTACAGTTATCAAGGGAATGCTCATTGCTTCCACATGTTCACTGGTGTGTGCATAGATTAGCTCTTGCTGTGTCACAGAGTGCACATGCAGTTGATGCTGTCAAACATTACGAGGAAACAGTCAATCACATATTCAATTATTTCAACAACTCACCCATGAGGTAGATCACGTTTAAACGTTGTCCAGATCGTTTTTGAATTTTTGTTGTTGTTTATTCTGGTTATATTTCATCACAGGTGTTCATGAAGCACTTTGCATAATTTATTCATGATGTATAATTAAGTTCCTTGTCTCTTTTTATACATCATGAATAAATTATGCAAAAGGCTTTATGATCACCGGAGGTTTTCATTATTGTTTGCACCAGTGAAAGGCATTATTTGTTGAACATATTAATGCCGTTCATCTTACTGTCTAAACTGAAGAAGATTATATTTGTATTTTTGGATAACATGAATTGCCAATTAAAGCAGCCATAAACATTTAAACATGTAAAAGTATTATGTTTATCTATGACTGTTTTAACTTATTTTCCTTATTTTCCCAGAACATCAGTGATCCTGACAAAAGCCTCCATTTGATAATCTTTTTTTCAGAGTTTCATTGAAGTTTAAAAAAATTCACTAAATTTATATTTCAATATGTAAATGCTGTTAAACTTAATTCATTTCCATGGAAATGGTAAAGAAACCACCAGTTATTATTTCATATATGATTGCTTTAAGTAAGTGTCCATATATAAAAATGAAATAACAACTGTTAAAATAAGGAAATGGATTACAATGTCTGTTCATATTTCACAGGTACAACAAACTGCGGGAGCTTCAACAGGTCCTCATTGATGTGACTGTTGCCCTGAAGGAGCCTCACAGTGTGAGATGGCTGTCCCTTCATGAGGCTATTCTTGCTCTCAGTAAATGCTGGCCTGCCTTGGTGGCTTGTCTTGGTGCTGATGCTGCTGCAGACAATCCAGGGGCCAGGAGAATATCATCAAAGGTGGAGACCTACTCCTTCGTGGCGTATACCTGCATTTTGGATGGTGTACTCCCCCTCTTCACAAAGCTGTCAAAGACTTTCCAGCACCATTCTCTTGATTTTGACAAGGTACTTGACTCTATATGTTATAAATTCAAAAGACCTATGTATTCACAGTACAACTGACTTAATATTTAGATGATGTAGTTGAATTCATCCTGACATATGTAAAGTAAATGTCAATTTTCATATTCCATGATAATGATGATGATCAAAATATTTCATTTTACAAAAGTAAATGTTGTCATTTTAAATACATGTAGATGGAGAGCATGTTACATCTGACAAGACAGACACTTGAGGCCTTTCTAACAGACAACACGGTCTTGACTAGCTACAATGACCTGCAACAAAAACCCAAAGATCAAGAAAACAAAATAACCTGGATGGGTATCCCTATAAGGAAAACAGGTCAAGCCGAGCACAACCCTGAGACTGCAAAGAATCTCTTCATAAACGAGCTTTTGGCTAATCTTGAAAGGTGATTTCCAAAAAATGGCAAGTGTGGTTACATTGATCATTATATTAAAACATCAACCAGAATTTTTCTGTCTTTGCTATAGTGATGGTTAATTTGATTATTCTCAGACATTAAATGTAAAATGTCAACTTCTCATTTAATATTTTTCTTTTTAGGCATGGCTGTTCTGAGGAAAACTGAACAATATGCTGAATCCCAAGAAGATCGTAGCTGTTCCTCAGGCTGAAGTTGGTCAGTATGGACAAGAGGACCTACAAGACATCTGTGAGACGCTTTCTCAGCCAGGGGGTGTTGATCCTCAGGTGTTCAGCCCTACCCGTGCAAGGAATGACTTCTTCATGTTCAAGTTGCACTGTCAAGGAAGTCAGAAGTCTCTTCCAGAGTTTGCCAAGGAACTACTGACAGAATATAAAGATGAATTCCCTGACTTTGCCATTCTTATGGAATACTTCATGGTGGTTCCGCTCAATTCTGTGTCATGTGAACAAGGCTTCAGTCGCCAGAATCTTGTTAAAACAAAGTCACGAAATAGGCTTAGGGAAGGGAGACTAAAATGAACTCTTGAGGGTTTCCTTCAATGGTCCTGATGTGGCTGACTTTGACTATGTTGATGCTGCAGCTAACTTCCGAAGCATGTGAGATAGGTTGAAGTAGGGAATGTATTGTTCAGGCTGAAATTGAAGTATTGTTAGGCTGAATTTGATGTATTGTTCAGGCTGATATTGAAGTATTGTTAGGCTGAATTTGTATTGTTCAGGCTGAAATTGATGTTGTTCTGGCTGAAATTGAAGTATCGTCAGGCTGAATTTGATGTATTGTTCAGGCTGATATTGAAGTATTGTTAGGCTGAATTTGTATTGTTCAGGCTGAAATTGATGTGATGAGTTTAAAACTTTGATGACACTTTCATCTTAAAGGATGGTTACATGTTATTGTTCAGTCAATACATGTTCACACACACAAAATTAGTTTGTCATATATAAAAAATGACTGGATGAAGAATATGGCTATGAGTTTTACAAAATACACACATAAAAACAGACACTTAAAGTTTTCAACCAGACAATTTATTTGTGCTCAGAATAGCCTTAAGTTCACCATTTCAGGTCTGCATTAGGAAATTTCTTTGGGGGGTGGGGGGGGGGTGTATAACTATTGACTGTTTCGAAATATTTATTGAAATTCCATCACACCTTGAGGCAAGAGCACTAACCTGGTCAACTTACAAGTATCACAACACGGTCAAATTTCTTATTGGTATTGCCCCCCAAGGAACAGTTTTGTTCTTGTCAAGAGCCTGGGGTGGACGTGTCAGTGACAAACATCTCACAGAGAACTGTGGTTTTCTAGAGAAGCTCTTACCAGGATAAGATGTGCTTGCAGACAGGGGATTTGATGTCAGAGACAGTGTAGGATTAATGGCTGCAACTGTTAAGGTACCTGCCTTCACAAAGGGGAAATCACAGTTACCAGTTATAGAGCTTGAAGAATCACAAAGACTTGCTCACCTGAGAATTCACGTTGAACGCGTGATTGGACTGTTAAGGCTAACGTACAACATCTTGTCTCACACAATACCTATCAACTTCTTGTTGGTAAATGATGGAAAAGAGGTGACAACTATTGACAAAATTGCAAGAGTTTGTTGTGCGTTAGTAAACCTTAATGATTCTATTGTGCCTTTTGACTAACTTTTCATATGTACAATTATTGTACCATATGTAGTGAGTGTGACAGTTCCTGCTCTTGAATATTGAAATTTAAACCCAACATGTCTGCAGTTTTTCATATTAAATGAAAATCCAAGCTGCACTGATGAGTCCTGGTGGGACGAAACATGTATGAATCTATATGTTTTGTAGAAGGTAAAGTTAAAATTGATAAAGATATTGCTTGCTCTCAATCTCTCTTACTTATATCATGTATACTTTGCTGTATTCAAAATAGAGTTGTGATGATAAATGATGGAAAGGGGGTGACAACTATTGACAAAATTGCAAGAGTTTGTTGTGCGTTAGTAAACCTTAATAATTCTATTTTGCCTTTTGACTAACTTTTCATATGTACAATTATTGTACCATGTGTAGTGAGTGTGACAGTTCCTGCACTTGAATATTGAAAATAAAACACATTGGAAAAAAGAAATACATTGAAAAAAACAAAAACAAATCTGCAGTTTTTCATATTAAATGAAAATCCAAGCTGCACTGATGAGTCCTGGGGGGACGAAAACTGTATGAATCTATATGTTTTGTAGAAGGTAAAGTTAAAATTAATAAAGATATTGCTTACTCTCATTTTCTCTTACTTATATCATGTATACTTTGCTGTATACAAAATAGAGTTGTGACGATAAATCAATGTCTCGCTCTCTCTCTCTCTATATATATATATTATCAGTTAATATATTCACAACTGAGTCTTCATTGCTATGTAATTTAAAGAGTGGCCTAGTTGTCTAAGGTGCCGCAATTCGCTGTGCAGAGTTGCTTCCCTTGGGGACGACAGAAACCTATGATTGTGGGTTCGAATCCCGGTGCCTAGCTGTGACGTAATCATTAGGTAATTATTGCTTAACGCCGTATCAGCAAACGTGCAGCTCCTCGCGGCCTGATCGACAAATCAAGACGAGAGCGGTTATCTCCCTTGAACTGTCCCAAACTATTGATCTGACCGCGTTGTGTCAACCTGTATCAGCAGATTCGAGTACAAAACTCACAAAGCGCTTCATGACATCCAATATATGAGAAGTACCTTCAAGGAACAATAGTTGCAAAAGCTAGATATGACAAGTTATTTGATTAAAACTTTTCTCACATACGCCAGCTGCTTTTGGTTTACCTTCTCTTCTCAGCAGGTATTTCTCAAGAAGACATCATTTTCAAAAGCCTCTTATTTCTTCTTCCTACCTTATTTTTCGACAGTATAATGTGGTTTGTTGTTTAACGCCGCATTCAGCAGTATTCGAGCTGTATGACGGCGACCAGACAATCCAATGATTGACATCATGAGCATTGATCTACGTTATTGGGATATGATGACATGCATCAACCAGTTCAGCGTGCCTGACCACCCGATCCCGTTAGTTGCCTCTTACGACCAATATGGGCTGCTGAATTCTAACCCATATCTGCACAGGGGCATATAATAGTGTACTCTTATGATAAATATGTGCATTTAAAGTAAACTGCAATTACAATGAATCAGAGAAAGGTTTGTTTGATAGGTCAAGTGGGTTCGTTCACCTCACGCGATAACGACAACAATCCAATCGCTTCAGACAGATCCTCAAATGAAATATTTACTGAAATGGTTGTACCATTACGCTTTGGTTGGTTACTTTGTTGTTTTACGCCGCACTCAGCAATATTCCAGCTCTATGACGGCGGTATGTAAATAATCGAGTCTGGACCGGGGAATCCAATGACTGATATCATGAGCATCGATCAACGCAATCGGGATCGATGACATGCTTCAACCAAGTCAGCGAACCTGACCACCCTATCCCGTTAGTCACCTCCTACGGCAAGCTTAGTCGCCATTTACGGCAAGCATGGCATTACGCTTTGAATAGTATATTCCAGTTATATTAGGGCGTGTCAGCTTGATGTGGGGAAACTGGAAGTGATGCACGTCTCCGACGTTTACCTCTTCGGTGAAACCCGAGAACAACCGTATGGTGCTGACAAATCTAGAAACATAAGCAGGGCAAATTTGGGATTGAACCAACGCTTATAAGTTCCTGGGACGCCTTATTCTGGACAACTCTTCACAGGCAGTCGTGCAGCCTTGGGCGACTGGGTCACCCGCGCTCCGTGATCGTTCCCCAGCTCCAAACATGGCTCCACTCTGCTACACGTGATTTAAAGACATCCTCATCCACTTGACCCTGACGTGGGGCACTGATTTATGTATATACAAGACATTTCCAAAATTATCGACCGGCATCAGAGAATGCGTCAGTTATATCACCAGTTGTCCCGTGAGCGCTCACTGTCGTTTAAAGTGAATCTTTCAATTTCGTGAATGAGTGAATGTTGCTTTAGGCCGCTTGTTAAAGTATAGAGTTGTGAGCGGGCAAACTTGTCTCGAGACAGGAACATACAGTTATACATAAGCGCATGCATTGTGAGATATGTGTTTTTACGAGTAGTGTACAGTGGTTTGAGTGAATATTCCTGCGAGTTGACTGACGCTTTAAGCCACTTTGCTTCCCCATCGCCACTCTATTATGGTGTAAACAAACAAACACAAATTTTAAATACATTTATATCAAGAAACACATATACATGATGTCATTCGCTCAAAGATAACGCTTGGAAACGTTTGAACACACTCTCAAAACCAAATACGTTTGGCCAAACACTGTCACGTGCCACAGTCTTCACTCATTGTCAACTTCTTAGCTCTGTTCAACCAGAGCGAGGTGTTTGACAAGGGCGGTAACACCCCGCCTAGCCAGGGAGCGGAGATAACCAAGGCTACTAAGTACCCTCAACAGTTCTTGTCTCCCCTTGCTGGCTAGGTCTGCGTCCAGAGATGTGGCGATCGAGTCTAGTCTGTGACAAATATGAGTCAGCTTTCGTGTTCCCCTGTTGAGCATTCGGACGTCTAAAAGCACTGCCGTGTACTCGATCACGTGGTTTAACTCAAGCTTGAGCTGCATCATCTGCACGAGGAAGTCGTGCACGTGCTTGGCAGT